TTGTTTTATAAAAAAGCTTATAGCTTAATAGGGCTCGAGGTTTAACTACTGAGCAAGAAGTGCTAATCCTCTTTTTTTTTTTTTTTTAATATAGTAGTTTCACAAAAACTTTATTAAAAAATAATTAAAAAATATTACATATATTCAGAATTTATAAAAATCTCTATCTAAATAATCATAAAACTATCTAAATCAAGATTGACCCTGCATTTATCTAACACAACTGAAACTATGTTATCATATTTCAGTAATTAGAAACAGAAAAGGGTTTGACTCCTACATCACCAAAAATTTGACCAATAAGATTCTATATGAACTATATTATTAATTAACTTCTTATGATCGAAAATATGATGATTAGTTGAAAAAGAACAGCCTGATGCATCAGTAAGAAACCTTTTTAAAGCATTGGTAATTTCATGAGTGATTTCAAATTCTTTTAGTTTAGAATATCATTCTTTCCAAATTTCTTATAAATGTTCAAAAATTCAATGTATGAAAGAAGATAACATTGCTTCAGTAGCCATTTTAGAATTAAGTGACTTATAGATAAATTAAAATAGGTTCAAGGGAATGATACCTTTAATTAAGTCAATAAAAGAGAAATAATTTTAAGAAAGAAGGGATTAGATATTAAGTTGGTCTAGTTGGTGTTCTTATTTCTTATTATTGATGATAGTGTTGAATAAGGTTGCTAGACGAAATCAAGAGTTTAGACTGATGTCTAAATGATAAAAGTAAAAGTTGGTTAAATTATATTAAAACCTTATTAAAAAATCTGCAAAATTTGGAAAAAGGTAAAACTATATTAAAGCTTATAAAATGCGAAACTATATCAAACACTTAGTAAAAATTTAATAAAACTATAGGTTTTACCGTTTTGCCAAATCCAAAATGAGTTTAGACAAGCAACCTTAAGCATAGCTAAAAATACAATTAGGCCAATAAGAAATAGGCTGGATCTATAAAAAGCACAAGCATCATTATGCTTAAAAAGTTAGATTGATAGTAAATTAATAACTTTACAAAATATTTAAATTTTTATATGTATATATTCAATAGTTTTGAAAATAATAATTATATATATTCTTTATTATTTATATTTTTTTTTTTAAAATAAATAAATAAAATTTCATGATATTTACAGTTCAAAATTTAATCATTCCAATAGAAAGATACATTATCAATCAAGAAGAACAATCTTTTTATTATTCTAGAAGAATGATCTTTATTTACAATGTTCTAGAAGAATGATATTTTCATCATTTTAGTTGAACGATACATCATAGTTCTTCTTAAACAATTTATTCATCATTCTAATAGAATGATATATTATTATTCAAGTTGAATGATTTATTCATCTTTCTAATAGAATGATACATTATTATTCAAGTTGAACGATTTATTCATCTTTCTAATAGAATGATACATTATCATTTAAGTTAAATGATTTATTTAACATTCTAATAGAATTATAAATTATCGTTCTTCTTGAACAATTTTTTCATCATTTTATTTGAATGATTCATTATTGTTCAAGACAAATGATTTATTCATCATTCTAATAGAACGATACATTTTCATTCAAGTTCAATGATTTATTCATCATTTTAATAGAATAATACATTATTATTCTTCTTGAATGATTGTTTTATTATTCTATTTGAACGATACATTATCTTTTAAGATGAACAATTGATTCATTATTCTATTTAAATGATACATTATCGTTCAAGACGAATGATTTTCTTATCATTTCTTTTAACTTTAATTTGTTAGTTTCTAGAATCACAATTCCTGTTTTATATTAGGATTGCAGTCCTGTCTCACTTTATATGAGACTGTAATCTGAGAATTGCAAGTTCTAATTTAAATAGAACTGCAGTCCTATAATTCAAAGGACTTGAACTGGACCTGATTTCATAAAACTGTTTAGGACCTGATTTCATAAGACTTTTTAACATCCCTACTTTTATTTCTAGATTGTTTCTAATAAATAGTGAAAGATTACTAAGTGTTATATAAATAAAATGATATGACATTCTTCTTAAATTATCGCATATGCTTACATCAGAATACATAATAATTGATAAAAGTTTTGCTTCAAATGATAAATTTTTTTGAGTTATTTTTCACTAATTATCATTAAATAATTCTTAATAATAATATACTTTAATACTCTTGAAATAAATTTTTGTTATTAAATTTTATTTATTAAAGTTCATTAAAAATATATTAAAATAAATTATCATTTTATAATCATATAATTCTTCATATTCAAAATGTAATTCATATACTAAATTAATATTAAATAATAATTCTTCAATTGTAGCAACAATTAAATGCTGATCAAAATTATAAATAAAATTATTGTATTCATGAATTTGAATACTGATAAAAAGAGAATGTAAATTTGTTATTGTATCTATAAATTTTCGATCTTTAGCTATTGACAAAGATAATAATTTATTATTTTAACTATTATAAGTCTTAAAAAGTTTTAATATTTTATCTCTAATATATTAGAAAAATTATTACAAATAATCTATCATGATAAATTATTAATATTTTTTTTTTAAAATTAAAATATATAATAAAATTTAAAATTTACCAAATTCATAAAATCATGATATAAGTCATTAGAAAATCCTTCATATTCATCATTATATTCTTATCATTTTCATAATTTTTATTAATATTAGAAATATTCAATATTTCTTGTGATATAAATTTATTATTATTATTATAATCAATTGTATTTAATATTTTTTCTAAATTTGTATTAGAATCAATAACCATATTATCTATAATAAAAAGAATTTTTATAAAAAAAAAAATTAAATAATATAAGTAAAAAAAATAGTTTAATATGAATTTAACATAGCCAACGTTGTTATGTCTGATTTGTAACTCAAATAAAATTCATTAATATTAATAATGCTAAGACTAAACTCAGGAATCACAATGAAAATTCGTAGTAAACATTAAAGATTATTCTTAATTACATATGAGTAACTACTATATATTTCAAAGATTATGTTTTAGTAACTACATATTAAGTCAATACAATGAATCAATATAATACTACGCAAAGTTAATAAACAATAATAATATATACACAGGTTAAAGTGTTACGTAGGATAAGTTTTAACTTGGTTAATTGTATACTTTATTAATAATATAATAAATTGTAAGTCCTTTACCTCGTAAGATATTGAGACTTAATCGAAATACAATAATATTTATACATGTTTAATAATTATAAAATAAAATAACATCATCTAGGAAATAAAGTTAACAAAATTGATTAGCATGAATGATCATGTCAACCATTGCACTGAAAATAAAATTGACATCTGGATCTATAATGTTTCACATTAATTATCTTAGAACATAAAGTTGACATCAGGATTAATGAGATGATAAATAAAGACATTTAATTGATATTGAATTTATAAGCAGATTTTAAGCAGATTTTAACCAAAATTTGCATTGTTACAACATATATATATTTAATATTATCTATTATTTTAAGCCAAAATAAATTATAATAAATTATTCATATGGCTTAGTTATATTAATTTCTAATAAAATTTATTAATCTGTTTAATTAACTTTTTAAATTAATATATATTAAAGAAAAGTGAAACTAGTAGTACCAGCCGGTATAAATACTGAAGTCGACTTAGTCAGCAGTTAGACATTGTCAGTTGACTCAGCTGCGAATAGATCATGATTCTAAATCAGTCGACCCAGCTATGACTGAGTTATGATTCCTATATAAATTCATATTATAATTATAGTAATATTGTAACAAATGATTTTATTATAAAAAATTAAAGTTGGCTCAGTTCGTAAAGTTAACATATATATTTTCCAATTTGTAAAATTAATATTTATTATATATATATACAAAATTAATAATAAAATACATAAATATTATATATTACTATTATTAAATGTAAATTTTCTTTTAAAAATAAAAGATTATATACAAATGAAAAGGACAAGACAATTTCATTTTTCTGTAATGGTATTTTTAGCTGTATAAAATAACCTTTCACAAGATACAGAAGTAGAGGGAATTGCAAGATAAATTCTTGCTTGATATGCTAAAATTGGATATAAATTTTGATTAATCTTTCACCACTTAAGTGGATTATAATCTTCAAATATTGAAATATTTAAAAGTTCAATATATTTGTTTAATTCATTTTTATTTTTTGATTTTGAAAGTGGTGTATTACCGAAAAGTAATGATAAAGCAGAAGATTTTAAAGTAGAACTACTACTTAAAGAATCTTCATTATGATTTGTTTATTTTCATTAATTATATTTTTAAAATATGTATGTACTTCTTATCGTTGTGGTGATGTAGCAAATGTTAAATCTTAAAATTTTAAATCTAAAAATGATACAATTAATCCAATTATTCCAGGATCAGCCTATTTATTTTCCATTGAATTATGTATTTCATTACATATCTCTATAGCTTCAGATGTTTTAAATTTTGGTGTTAAAAAAGATTACTATTAATAGGATAAGTTATGCTTAATGTTAAATAATTACTCCTACCAAGTATTTTTGTTGCTGCTAAAAAATTTCTAAGCAATACTATTAATTCATTGATTATATTCTATTGATAATCATCGAGAAATAAACTTTCTAATAAAAGACCATCATATAATAATCTTTATTTGACTCATTTTTTAATGCAAAAATTAGAAGTTTAATTGCATCTTTAAGATCATTAAGATGACATATTACATTAAATGTTGAATTTCACCTTGTAATTACATTTTTAATTGGTTCAACTATTTGATTAGATGATTTATTTTGATTTAAATCATTACCAAAATCGGTATTATCAAAAGATATTAGTTCTATTACTTTAGTATTATAAATTTCTTGCATTTTATGAAGTCATTCGCGATGCTTATCTTTTTGAATTAAAAAATTATTAAGTTTTAAAATTTGTAAAAGGAGTTCATCAATTTTTTCTAGACTTTTTTTAACTGATATTGTATTGTATATGCTGCATATCGAATGTGTTCAACTTCATAATCCAATTCAATTAAATCTGATATAGCTTTTACAACATTTGGAGCAATATCACTAATATCAGCAAAAATACATTCTTTAAATTCCCAATGATCAAATGTTTTAGCAAGTTTTTTTGCAATATTTAAACTAGTATGAGGATAAGGGATTTCTTCAATTGTTAAAAGAGCTTACCGAAATTACAAATTAGGTGAAATTCAATAAATTATAATACCAATATATAGATGATGATAAGCTATCCATTCATCTGTTATAAAATTTACTAAAATCATAATATCATGAAGTAGTTGAGTAAGCAATTGTTGCAATTCTTGAATATTATTAAAAATTAATCCTTTAAATTTTGAAATTAATGGTAGAATATATCTTTTATTTAAATGTGAAATAAATTTGCAAAAGTTTTCATTAACAACTGTAATAAATGGTTGTAAATCATCTACAATCAAATTAACTAAATCTCTATCATTCATTTTGTGTTTCATCATTATAAGGTTTTGCAATTTCAAATGAAAAAGGAATCGTTGATTGAATTAAAACTTTTCCTATAGAAATATTGGCTAGATTTGGTAATTTGCAGTATTTTTATTAATTTAATGTTTAGTACACAGATGACTTGATAAATTATCAGTACTTATTTTTATACTAAATAATCACTCACAAATACCATTACTTGTATTGACAAAACATTTGCTTTGCTCTCCATGAATTCCTGTTTAAATATAATGCCACACCCAACTTTTAACTCCTTTTGGTCGTTTTGCAGGATAAACAATAGATTCAGATAAATTATCATCAAAATGAACACTATCATTAATATTTACATTATCTGATTCAGAAAATTCTGTTTCAATATTTGAAGAATCATCATAAGGTTCAAATTTTTTAGTAATTATATTATATGTAACTTTTGGTTTATTTTTGCCTTTTAATATACGCTTCATAATGTGCGAAATGAAAAAAAAAATTGGCGTAATTGTTCAATCCATTTTTGTAAAATCCCTAATCTTAATTTGTAATGAAAATGTGTTAAATTTTGATTTGTGGATCAGTTGCCAGTCATGTGTTATCAGTTAAAAGTTATCAGTCATGACTTAGTCGTAGCTCAGTTATGGCTCAGTCACAGATTAGTTACAGAGTCAACACTACTTGATTTAAACAGAGTCAATTCAGCCATCAACTCTGACTCCAATGGCTGATATTACTAAGTAAACTATATAATATAAGCCATAAAAGCCTTATTTTATTAAGCAAATTTGATTGATTTGTTTAATATATTTATATTTAGTTTTTTAATATTTAATTTTAAATAAAAAATTAAAAAAAAAATTGATCTATATATAATTTTCTCACACTTTTTTTTTATTTTGTTACAACTTTTTTACAATTTTTAAAAATGGCAATTGGAAAATTTATAGAAAATTATTTTAAAGAAATAAATATTATTGATTGGAATTATAATTCTTTTTATAAATTTATATATATCTTAGATTATAACAACCAAGATACCATAACTAGAAATTATATTAGAACATTAAAAGAAATATTAAACAATAAAGTAACTGATAATTATAAAAGAAAAATAATACAAGAATTATTAAATGCAAATAAGGTAAGTATATTTTTTATAAAATATTTATATATATAGCTTAATGATAATATACTATATAGTAGATGGTATATTGTTGTTTTAATAAATCTCCAAATATTAAGAACTAGTCCTATTAAATAGTTTCTGTATTTTTTTAAAGTCCAGAAATATGTTAGATGTAACTGTTTCTCCTTTTGGAAGAATGATTCCAACTTTGTTAAACTTTCTGATATATTATTAATAATTATTTATTTCTGAAAGATTTAAATTAAATAAATATATATAAATATATTAAAAAAATTATTTAATTTTTTAATTTTTTATATAATTGTAAGTTTTATCATTATCATCATCACCATTATTATCATCACCATCATCATCATCATTACCATTATTATTATCATTATCATCATTATCATTATCATCATTACTATTATCATTATTATTATTATTATTATTACTATTATCATTATCATTATTATTAATATCATCATCATCATCACCATCACTTTCATTATCAACATCATTATTTACAATAGCATCACTTACATTCTTATCAACTATTTCAATCTCATTATTATTAGAAATAGCTTTAACAATCATTGATTCAAATGCTTTATTTAATAGTTACACCAATCTAAATATTCTAATTAACTTTTAGAAAGTGCATGGCAATTTGAAATATATCCAGCAATTAGTAAATGCCTTCTAATAGAAATTTATATATCTTCAGAAGTTGGAAGAATTTTTTATCAAGAAGGATTGTAGATCTTTATATTCCTACATATAAATAGGCTATAGAATTATTAATTGAAGGTATTGCATTAAAAGTATATTATAAAAGATTTCTAATAATTTTAAATTTATTTTACTTTATACTAATCAACAATTATATATTTATATGAAAAATATTTAAATATTCTAATTGATTCATATATTTTAATTGATAATTTGTCAAAAAAATAATATCAAAAAAATATATCCAAATATATAGCATATTATATTAAATAATAATTTCATCTGTTTTAATATAATAAAACTAGACTTTCGCGTTTCACATCACATGCTAATACTACGCCTCTCCAGATACTATATAAAAATTATTTACGCGACGCACAATCAATTTTTATACTTTCTTACTCAAGTATTTCGTCACAAAAAGCCACCAGTCAAAGAGTATATTAAGAGTCTATCTACGATTTATATATACCCTCGAAAACTCTCTAAAACACACTGCTTCTTTTGTATTCGAACATTAATCACTATGTATGGTAAGTTCTATCTCTTACTTGGTATCTCAATTTGGTAGATTGGTATCCTTGAAGTATACTCCTTTGTTTGATATCTTTGGAGTATACACCTGTTTTAAGGTCTACTGATTCCGGAGGAGGGGTTGGTTATGTACCTTCCTTTTAACAGTTAAAGATATCGTCTTTATCGTCTTTATCGTCTTTTATCGTCTTTATCGTCTTTATCGTCTTTATCGTCTTTTATCGTCTTTATCGTCTTTATCGTCTTTATCGTCTTTATCGTCTTTATCGTCTTTATCGTCTTTATCGTCTTTTATCGTCTTTATCGTCTTTTATCGTCTTTATCATCTTTATTATCTTTGTCTAGCCATTGTGCATACTAACATTAATTTATTCCTTCTTACTGTTACTGATTGTAATGGTTGTAGAAAAGACAATCAAAGCGTTTTTTCAGAGGAAACCTTCAAACACTAACCGAAGTTGAAATAAGTGAGTGGTTGAAAAAGATCTCATCTCACAGCTTCACTCACATTATTAAAAAACAAGAGTTTGGGTAA